CAATTGACCGTAACTTTGGTGTTTCTCAATGGATTTGAGTGAAATTTTGACCACACACTCCTGCCACTATGCTGGCCCTCAGGACATGATTTACAAGTTCTTGCGCCTCACTGACAGGCTTTCCAGGCCGGAAAACTCAAATTTCCGGCATAGTGCCACGGTGTGCGAGCCACCCAGGAGCCAAACAAATGCATTTACACTTTTTTCACATTTTCGTTCTCATTCTGTTCGTGCGCGGGACCCAAACCTAGAACAAGTCCAGAAGCAGCCATGGGTGATGGGGTAGGGCCCCTCAACGAGGCCCTGGAATCTGTCACAACGGAACGAGTGGGCGTTCTCTCACACACTCCCACAGACCCAAGTCAATTTTTGAATTTTTTTAGGTTTAGCACGTGCTACGAGGTCGTACCTAGTACCTTTGATACAACATCCAGTGCTGGGACCTCCACAGCAAGCCATTTCCACAGCGCTGCACACCAAATCCAGGATACCCTCAGAAACCGGCAAAGACTACCACTCACGTTTCACTACTGCCTAGTACCAAGAGTACATGAAAACCCATGGTTTTCATGTACTCTTGCTAGTACTCAATCCTACCTGACTTCTTGACACGACTCAAACTTGCCAAAGTCACTAAATCAACGTCAACTACAATAATCAAGCCACATATCTGCAACGTCACGAGGGTGCTGGCAAAAGTCCTGCTGCACGGCGGCGGGCTTTCGCCCGCCGCCGTGCAGCCCAATACGTGGCTCAAAAACCTGATTTTTTGGACTTGGAGCAAAATTCTGCACACTTTCACGTGTTTCCATGATACGACAAGTTGCGCACGGTCTGCTCACATTCAAATACAGTGCTGCCAACAAATGAGAGCGTGCAACAAAAAAATCTTTCCTTGCAAGGGCACATTTTCGGCCATAACTCTTGAACGGCCGGTCAGATCGGGACACAATTTTCAGAGAATTTGCAGCTATTCATGCTCTTTCAACTGACGTAGCACTCAATATGAATTTACAAATTCGATTTTTCAGCGAATTTTTGGGTAGTCTGCCACCTTAAGTTGCCCATGCTCAGAACTGCCTTTGTCCGTCATGGCACTTCCTTCCAATGTGCTAAGCTGTGGAATGATTTACACCCTCTAGCTCGCTATGTGGATAACTCCGCCCGTTTTAAGAAACTGTTACCCCAATGCCTTTCTTTTTCACGCTAGTACTTATGACTTTCAGCTATGCAATATGCGAACATGATCACCTATCCAATACCGGTAGTCTATTATATTAGTCTATTTCCTCTGTGCTGCGCTGATGAGTTCAAAAACAACGAAACAGCATGCTGTCCGCAGATTGAGTATTTCGCTCCTGCTCTTGTAGCAGTTGAGCACTCTTGCGTGGGGTAGTGCCTTTGCTGTTTGCGTTATGCAGAGCTCACTGACTTGTCAGTTTGAGCACTCTGGCAAGGTACGTTCGGGCCTGATTGGAAATTTTTATTTCCATTGCTATCAGGTTCGGCCTCATTTCCTCTGTGCTGCGCTGATGAGTTCAAAAAGAACGAAACAGCATGCTGTCCGCAGATTGAGTATTATATTAATTATTCATATCTTTTTGCATCTTTCCCTCGAGTGGGTCTATTGTTATTAGGCAATTGTCTGTTATAGTCACCACTATAAATAAAAATCTAATCCAAATCCAAATGGTCTGAGGCGCCCAGAGGGCAGTCAGTTTCGACGCAAGACGAGAGATTGGCACGGTTGCTAAACACCAAACCCAAGCAGGCTTGGACACCAGAGGGTGACGTGTATGTACATGTGTTGACGAGTCGGTGAAGATCAAACAGACTGAGCGTGCGATACAATTCAGCACCGGCAGTATTGGTGGAATCTGTCGAACACCATGACGTGTGCTTGCTGTTAAAATCACCTGTCAAGATAACGTGAGAAGATGAAAGAGGAAGAGTAATGAGTATGTCTTCGAGAGTTTGGCAGTATCTTGCCAGATCTGTTGGCTTAGCAGAAGGTGGACAATAACTGCAGCAGAGGAGGATCGGCTCAGCTGCAGCCGGATACGGCTGGAGTTGAACCCAAACGGCTTCGCACCCATCGCGAGCTAGATCGGGATGCATGGCAACAGGCTTAAACTTATTCTGTCGAACAAGGATAGCGACACCACCATAACCTCTTGCACTTGTCCCGGACTTATTCTCTGCAGGGGGCCTGTCCCTCCGGAAGGTGTCATAACGCGTTATATTAAGTGCAATATTCGGGTCGAGCCAGGTTTCAGTTAGGCAGATTATGTCAGGCAGCCACTCTTCAGCAACAATAGTAAGCTCTGTACACTTATTCACTACAGAACGACAGTTTGTTGATAGGAGTGTGAGCTGGGGTGGTCTAGAATGCTGGTGAGTGGGAAGGGAGTGTCTGGTAGGAAAGAATGGGTGTGCATGTGGGTTCAGTGAGGAAGGTGGGTGTGGGTCCAATTGCATGGTTTAGTTACTAGCAGACTGATCCAAGGTTGTGCTGTCAGATGCAAATCTCCATTCCCTGATGGAAACTTTGCTTGGCCAGAAATCTTCTTCGAGAACCTGGTCAATATGCTCAGCCGGAACAACAAGGTGAGCATAAGCAGTACTAAAGTACTTGGACTCCGAAATTGAGCAACTGAGGACGTCAACTGCTTTCTTTTTGCACCACTCCCTGATAGAGTCAGCCTCACACCCAGGATTGACATTTCCGAGGTAGAAGCACTTCCGCGTGATCCTTTCTGCCACCTGGAGGCTGCCTCTTTTTCACACTATGCTGTGCCTGGATGTAATAGTAGAAGAATGATCTTCCCGGTACGGGTACTGAAGTGCGTTTGTGTTCGTTTCGTTCACACTACACTACGTCTATGGTCCGGAAAGTTGGCAAAATAATGTTTCCCAAGTGACCATGGTGACCGTAGTCCTTCGAACTTCACCTCGGCTCGGGTCTGTGAATGTACATACCATTGTACAAGTCAATGGTGTACGCGACTACCACGCTGAGGTCAGGCGGTACATGTCACGTGTGGTAGACCTACCCAGCGTGGCCTATGCGGGTGGCTAGGCTGAACAATCTTTGTGGAGGTGTCAAAAGTTAGTTTTCTCGCCTCCCTGGCGCCACCATAGCCTAGCCCTGCAAACGTTATCTAAAATAAATGAGTGACGACCCTAGCCTGGTAAGTAGGCATGCGCGCACGCCAAGTGCGCACACCAACACAAGAGAAGAATCAATGATTATTATTAGTGAGCGGACAAGGTAGAAATGGAATGTCAACTGCAGTCTGGCAAAAACTGTTTTTTTGCATGAAGGTCACCTACAACTATCTGTTTTTCAGATCCCAAAGTTTCAGGCTGATACTATGGTGGGAAGTGCCTTACATACACCATTTTCTAGATGCCGGTCGGTATTTTAACGTCTGTTTCGGGGTGATTTAAACAGTCCACCCTTCAGTACAACCAAAACACTGAAAAAAAAACCATTATCTTGGCCTGTATTTCTCCACAAGCCAAAAAAGTGTATATCAGTGTGAAAGATGAGCTGATCACACACATAAGACTGGTTTGAGGTGGAACCAAGCAACAAAACCACATAACTAGGAACAGCCGGAGGCGAAAAATCAGCTCCAGAGTAACTCGTGATGCAAGGCAAAAAAATAGGACTGTTGAAGCTGGTACTCAATCCACACATCAAATAACACTACACACATGTCAAAAATAGAAGAATTTGGCTGACATAATTATGGTAATTCCAGTGCGTTCTTGCTTCAGCCATGTGTGCATGCTCTCGTCGTATACTGTTGGCGACCTCGGACTCTGCTCTGATGCATTGAGGCTCCCGACGACTGAGCGGCGCACCTTGGTAATATAGTTCGTAACATTTTGGCAGGAGACCGAGACAGCTCTTGAACACACAGCATCGAAATAATATTCCAGAGACGCACCACCAATACAGTGCCCATTGGCGAAGCTGGATGAGTCCACAGACTTGAGAAACTGTACTTAACGTAACGTTACACATCAGTCCGCAATCCGAGGCCCGATTTGACTTCTTTCCACTCAGCTCATGTTCACCAGCCTTGACCATTCTGTGTATCTCAATTCTTAAAACACTCATTTCCAGACAGTGCACGATGCAGGTCTGCCACTTGCATCCAATGCATTGGGCAACAGCTAGCTAGTTGTTCTGGGCTATTAAGTCCCTGTATACGTTCCCCTGTGGTGCACGACGCTATTGTTTCTTCAGCTCCTGCCCTGTGTGCTTCAGAGCTCTGAAGTCGGTTCGGTGTATATATTCAGTACAACTCAGCATCCACAGGAACGTTCCCCTTCATTGGTGTTATCATCATTACTGCTGTCACCACGTTCGCCTGCATCCGAAAGATTCATCTCATTCGTTCCCTATGTCTTTTTGTACCGCACTCAAGCTCCCCAGCAGCAAACAAAACGCTGATCGGCACGTCGTTTTCGGCGTCGTGGAAGACGCTCTCGACTACTACCTGACTCTGAAACTCTGAAACGCTTTCAGAATCAGAGAAGCTCTCAGCACCTGACAGCAGGCTATCAGCTGATCGCCGTCACCTCCAAATTCGCCCGTCAATACGCCACCCGTTGCACAACTAGCTGCCATGTCTTCCTTCAGCCATAACCATGATAACGGATTCACTTCAAATTTAGAGTGCTGGACCTTGAAGCCCTGTGCATGCTGAGCGAGGCACAAGCGCTTGATGCAAATAGAGCCCTCTAACCCAGGTAAAACATATGCCACAGTTTGCCAAACTTCAAACGCCTGTATCTCAAAATGATGTCATGCAGCTAACGACATTACGTTCCATTTCTACGGGGTAAAATTCTACCTTGTGCGCTCACAAAAATATAATAATTTATTATATTTTAATTATTTATTTTAGTAGTCGTAGTACATGTGGTATACCGGTATCGGACAAGAAGAAAATAGAGCTGCAAAGTCAGTATGCTACGAGTGAACAATGGCCACGGCAGCCTGCAGCTCCGTTAGTGCACTTACCGCCAGTGAGCATGGTGAGCCTGGTCTAAAAAGCTGTGTATTTTGTGGTGTCAAGCAGCCAGAAGATGGCCGTTTCTTGCACTGTCTGCATGTGAGCTGTGTGGGTTGTCTGAACGACAATCTAACGTCCGAAGGCTGTATCGAATGTGGTACGTGCAACGAGGAGACTAAGCCTAGATTGCCCGGTGTGGCCATCAGCAAACTGCTCGTGTCCAGTCGATTTGGGACAAGCGAAGCCAGCGATGAGGTTACCGGAGAGCAAGAAACACCCCTGTGTGATTTCTGTGAGACAAACTCAGCGAAAGCCGCTACACACGAATGTGAAGAATGCGATGGGATTTTGTTGTGCACGACGCACGCCCAGGACCACAGCAAGAAAAGAGTGTTTCGTACGCACCACGTGACTGAGCTTGATGCAGTGAGTTCAGGTAACTCAGACACTGGACGCAAACAACTGCAATACTCTTGCCCATTGCATGGCAAACACGAAGTGACCGACTTTTGTCGAACATGCCAAGTCGTGGCTTGCGAGCAATGCCTGCTTAGAGGCCACAGACAGCATGACGTTGTCTCTTTGTCTGAAACGGCTGCGGAGCAGAGGGTTGTCCTGAGGAATGAATTGCCACGTAGTGATGGGCAAACTGCTCACACCAGTCCAGACCGTCCTGTGTTGGAGTTGATGGCGATGAAAGAGGAGCTGGAGTATGACATCACACACAGCAATGGCGAAGCCACGGCGGCATCAAAAGTGATCACGGAGGCATTCTCGGGATTCAGGTCTCTGCTGGACCAACGAGAGGGAGAGCTATTGAAAATGGTGGATACAGCCAGGTGGAAGACGCAGAGAGCTGCCGAACACCAACTTCATCGCCTGGACATCATTGAACTGAAGAACACCACAGCCATTGAGATAGGAAAGTTTCTCACTAGTGAAATGGGTGCTGGTTGTGATGCTGAAGTCATGATGCTCGCACCACTGGTGCTGAGCAAGATGAAGTCGCTCAAGTCAGATGTTGAGGCGGAGAAGAAATCGCACAGCCCATCAGGCAGCATCCAAGCAGCCATGAACAAGTCTGAGTTTGACAAGCTCGAGCGGTGTGTTGAACGAATCGTGTCGGTTTCGTCTGGCCTATCCATTGAGTTAGAGAACTGCACTGTTGAATTCCCCGACCCATTACAAACTGACCAGGAGTGTTCGGCATGCCTCCACCTTGGCCAACAGGCGCATGCCTCTGCAGCTGGCCCTGACGTAGAGGACTGTATCAAGAAGCTTGAGGTTAGTGTGACCTCGGCATCAGCTGAAAAGCGCACATTACCAGCTGAAGAGCTTTCCACTGACGCGGAACAAGGAATGGTCAGAATTCCTATCCTTGTGAGCAACCCTGGTCAGCACCTACTTCATGTCAGGTCCGGCATTCGAGCCAGGGACTTCGAGTTTTCCGTTACAAACAAACCTCGCTTTGAGTTTGACAAGCGGCGCTGCTCCCATAACATCGCGATCTCTGAGTGTGGTTGCACTGTGCACTTCTCGGGCCATCCGGGTGGATATCACAATGTTCTTGGCACAGTGCCGTATACCAGTGGCACCCATCATTGGTCAGTCCGGGTACAAGGGTATAATCTGGGCAGTGGATGTATGGGTATTGGTGTCACAACTGTTCCCGACGGTGACTTTCTACGCCAAAGGCAAAGGTTGTTGAACACTGGATACGGGTGGTGGTCACATTCCAGTACTTATGGTCTTTGTAAGGACAAGGCCTTGGCAGCACAGTGTAGCGAGTGGCAAGATGGTGACATACTCGACTTCACGTTGGACTGCGATGCACATACCCTGGAGCTGCACAACCGACGTGTCAATGAGCGCAAGAAGATACAGGATGTTGTCGGCAATGGCACGCCTCTGTTCATGCTAGTATGCCTAACTGGTCATGATAGGACGGTCACACTACTCGGAAGATAGTTTTCAGGGTAAAGCAGACGAAATTACCTCTTGTCTTTCTCAGTTATTCAGCGAAGAGTTTTGCTTGGCTGACTCTGGGGTGTTGCTGTGTCAGTTAGCAGATTAACTGCAAGATGAAAGTAACTTTGCAACATTCGTGGCATGCTTACAATACTTCGTCTTGAAGGCTTCCACTAAAATGTTAGGGCATTTTGTCCTAGCTCCTGCCTTAGTTTTCATGTCATTGTGTAGTGTGTTGTATTGGGTAAGATTGTCATGCAGTCTGTAGTATATGTACATGTCATGAGTTAAATCATGGAATTGACACTTTGCTCCGACTGTCACCATAGTTCTGTGGAACCTATCGCTTACAGACACTGCGGAGACCAGACACGTTGGGCAGGTATTACAATGATGATAAAGCAGATAAACGTTCACTTTCACTTCCCTTTTCGTCCAGCGAATTATTCTATGCAATTACTTCGTTTGGCTAGCATTTTATCAAGTGGAAACGAGGAAAGCGCTGCTGCACAAATCCATCTTTAAAATATTTTCCTTGGCTCACCATCTGTCAGGGGCCGTCCGTAATTATCGAACGTTTTTCACCAAACGAATTATTTTAGTTTAGACCCAACCCCTCCCTCCCTCCCCCTCAGAACGTAAAAAAAGGTTGACATATGCATGCATAATGCAACAAAAGTTGCAGGTGTGCAACTGCTCCTGCGACCATGTACATGTATCAATGTTTTCTGAAACGAAATTGGTCAAACCCCTCCCACCCCATAACGAAATTATTTCGTTTTGTGAAAAAAGTTCGATATTTATGGACGACCCCTGAGTATTTTATCAAGTCTAAAAGATTTTTCATAATTTCTTTACAATTTTAGTATCGAAACTTTGAAGTTGATCCATGTGCCGAAAGACCTTTTATCATACATACGTTTTGCCTATTTTCTTGTATTGCTGTGTGGTGTGGTGTGGCGCTGGTAATGGCCTCTTTGCAAAGCTGGAGATTGTGCATCGACGAATTCTCCGGGCAATACTTCGTTTGCCGCCCGAGACCAACATAGCCGTTCTCTATGAAAATTGCTGTACATTTCCTCTGAAACATTACATTGACCGATCCTCCTGCGTATACATTCACAAAATCAAACTTATCACTGCCCCTCAGCATGTGCAGCATTCCTTAAACTGGTTCAATGAATCCTCAACAAGCCGGAACTCGCTTCGTTTCCCGATTGCAAGAAACAATTCTATGAGCAAATCACCAATTATGGGATTCTCTTCCTCAGCAATTAAAGTCCAGCAACACCCTCAATGCGTTTTTAAGCTTGATAAATATACACGTACGTCGATCTTCATTTACTAATCATTGATTTCAATTCTCTTTGTGTATTACTTCAAGCTCCAAAGTAAATCACATATGCTACCTGTACAATTCATTTGGGTTTTGGATTGATTTACTTTTATTTCATTTTTATTTTCATTTAACTTGCCATATTTTGCGTGTGCATTTTTGCCTTCTTGTTCTTCTATTCCATGGCTGGTAGCCCTCATTCATAATATTGGTTGACACCATGTCATCCATGAATTGAGAATAATAATAATAATAATAATAATAATAATACTTTAATAACGAAGGTACGTGTTAGGTCGTAAGTATCCACGCAAACACACATCCAGTCAAAATAAGGCACTTGTCAAAGTATCCGAACGTTTTCGGTCCCTTCTCATCAAGGATTATACAGGGAATGGCTCAAGTTGGAAAGACTAAAACTTATATAGCGTAAAGATATGAGATAACAACACTCGTGACAAGGTGAAAAAAAGTATCAAGTTCAGCACGACACAAAACTCGAAGGACATAATAATAGCGACAAGAACATAGTGAGCAAATTAAGTTACATTGTTAACACCTCGACGAGGAGTAACACCAAACAATTGTAGCGACAACACATTTTCTTTTTGTACGCAAAGTTCAGGATCTAACTTACGGATATACAAAGCTTCTAACACAGCCAGATGCAACGCACATCTACCACGTGACAATATTGAGAACACAGTATCACTGTACAACTCACGACAATTGGTACGGGCTGACAGATGTTGCTTGATGGACGAAGTGCGATTCTTAGCTCCGTTGGGTGTAGTCTCCTCCAATGTCCCGTCATCTCGCCTCTTCGCGGCATCACCACTATCCGTCTCTTTGCTTTTCCGCGGCCTTCCACGTTTTCTGACACTAGCCGTTGTGTGCGCGATGCCCAGTGTCCTTTCAGCTACGTCTCCTCCATTGCGGATTTCTATTGATCTTCTTACTCCAACTTGTCCGGTGTTCGATATTGAGGTTCGTTTTCGCGGTCTACCACGTTTTCGAATATTGACTGTTGTTGTCACTTCCGTTGTCGTTGTACGTGCGTCCTCACCAGTCCGTATTTTTACTTGGCTTCGCGTAACCCTTCCCGACGCAGACAGATCCTTTGTCAATTTCGGTGGTTTACGTGTCGGTCTTTCACCATCTTTCACGCTGTTCTCAGCTGGACCCTGCGCTATACACGCGGAGGAGGACGGGCATGCAGTGATATCTTCACAGGAAGAGGAAGATCCACCGATGGACTGGACAGCACATTTTGGAGGACGACCACGGCGAGGACGACACTCACGCGCATCAAGCGGAACAAAACTTAACGGCACATGTTGACGAATGCGCGCGCCCAGGTGCTGAAGGGTTCTACCTACATACCGATCTTCACATTGTCGGCATTGAAAGAAATAGATAAGGTTACTTTTACTAAGGGTAGGTAGAACATCCTTCTTCACACTGAACGCACGCACTGTCCCAAATATGACGTACAGCTTGACGCACGGATAAGATGGACATACGATACCACGAACATCCTTCTCCACGCGCGCAGAACCGGCGCCAACCCAGGGTAAACGGAGCACCACTGGGCAAAGGTCAGGTCCAAATTGGATCGGCTTGTCTGTCGCCGGTTTTTCGTTGATAAGCTTGGCCAGAAATTCCTTTGGATAGCCGTTGTTCGTAAATATTGATGTCAGTCTGTCTAATTCGTCCTGCAATAGATGAGGGGAACATATTCTATGCGCACGATAAACTAGCGCTTTCACAAGATGTTTCTTCGATTTCGTTGGAGTATAGCTCCCCCACGGAATGTAGAGGCCGGTGAAAGTTGGCTTCCTATAGATAGTGGTGTCCAAACTCTTAGTGTTAATGTTGCGTGAAATTTGTACATCCAAGAAGGATAATCTGCCGTTTTGTTCCGCTTCCGACGTGAATCTCAACGCCGGATGGAGGCTATTCAGAGTTAGTAGAAAAGTCCCACAGACATCCTCATCCTCATCGTGACAGTACACATCGTCTACAAAACGACAGTACATAGAGGGCCACAATGATGGACTAATGGACGCTTCACAGAACCCTACAAATATATTAGCCAATACAGGACCAAGTGGCGAGCCCATGGCAACGCCATCTATTTGTTTATACATAACGTTGCCAAATGAAAACTCAACGCCAGATGTAACCATTAACATGAGTTTCACAAACTCCGTTTCGTTCAAGGACGGCGGAGTAATGGACTTATTGTGGTACAGTGTTGTTGCGCAGATGTCAATGGTCTCCCGTAGTGGCACGTTAGTAAATAAGCTGACCACGTCATACGAACACATGAATCCGCTCGATTCAAAGTTTGCGTCCCTTAGCTTTTCCACAAACTCGAAAGTATCTTTGACGCAGTGGCTGTTGTAGAGGTTGAGTACCGGCTGTAGCATGGCACATAGCCACTTGGATGTTTTAAATTGCGGCGATCCTGACATGCTCAGTATTGGTCGTAAGGGAATGTTCTTCTTGTGAATTTTTGGGAGCCCATACATTCGTGGTCTTGTTGATCCCGTCGGTGCCAGATGGTCGTACTCATAATCAGAAATTTGATGTGTTTTTGAAAGAGACAATAGGTATTTGCTAAGTTTAGTGTCGATGTTTTCTGTATGATCATATACATCGCACGGTCCGAGTCTACAGAATTTCGTCTTGTCCTCCAGAATGACCATCATCTTGGTTTGGTAATCCTCCCTTGACATAATAACCGTTGCCCGACCCTTGTCAGGGCGGGAGATAATAATGTCCGGATTTTTCCTAAGCTCTCTCATTACTTTGAGGTGCTCTCGTGTGAGTGAAAAAGACCGGGTGTCAGGAGAAGACTGCGCAAACTTGTGTGCCTCAACAACAGTCAATATTCGAAAACGTGGTAGACCGCGAAAACGAACCTCAATATCGAACACCGGACAAGTTGGAGTAAGAAGATCAATAGAAATCCGCAATGGAGGAGACGTAGCTGAAAGGACACTGGGCATCGCGCACACAACGGCTAGTGTCAGAAAAAAAGAAAAAAAAATGATGACGGGACATTGGAGGAGACTACACCCAACGGAGCTAAGAATCGCACTTCGTCCATCAAGCAACATCTGTCAGCCCGTACCAATTGTCGTGAGTTGTACAGTGATAATGTGTTCTCAATATTGTCACGTGGTAGATGTGCGTTGCATCTGGCTGTGTTAGAAGCTTTGTATATCCGTAAGTTAGATCCTGAACTTTGCGTACAAAAAGAAAATGTGTTGTCGCTACAATTGTTTGGTGTTACTCCTCGTCGAGGTGTTAACAATGTAACTTAATTTGCTCACTATGTTCTTGTCGCTATTATTATGTCCTTCGAGTTTTGTGTCGTGCTGAACTTGATACTTTTTTTCACCTTGTCACGAGTGTTGTTATCTCATATCTTTACGCTATATAAGTTTTAGTCTTTCCAACTTGAGCCATTCCCTGTATAATCCTTGATGAGAAGGGACCGAAAACGTTCGGATACTTTGACAAGTGCCTTATTTTGACTGGATGTGTGTTTGCGTGGATACTTACGACCTAACACGTACCTTCGTTATTAAAGTATTATCCGCCTCCGACTTCTTGTAAAATAATAATAATAATAATGTACATATACCTCTAGATC